ATCCTCCCAGTGACATCAGCAAATAACACACAGTAACTGATAAGGCATCAAATAAAGCCAGAACTTACAGATTCTCTTTTCTTTTTTTTTTCTGTTGTTTGACCTCTTAATGATCTCTCATTTTAGATTGATTTTCAAAATTCTTATTCCCCATCCAACAATAGCTGGTTTCTGAAATAACATCTTGTAAACTGTTCAAAGATAGAGCTTTTGTTAACCCCACAAATCAAATAACCTATCACAAACTTCTGCCAACGAGGCAGCTGTTTTAAACATTAGATTTTATTGCTTTCCATTTACTGCTTTATCACCTAGTGGCAGGATAATGAAATAAGACTTCCCCTTCAAAGCAGAGTCTTGCCTAGGAAAAGGAAATTAGCACAACCTTCTAATGACATGAATTAGGCACAAAAAGCTGAAGAGAACACACTGTGTGCTAGAGCTTTCTTAAACAGCAGTAACTTTATTGCCCACAGATAACGCAAACATTTTCCAGACTTGCTGCAATTCAGCAAGTTACCTACTTAACAAGGTTCACAAAAAAACTATTTATTTCAGAAGTACCCTATTGTTCTTTGAGCATATTCTCATTTAAGGTGTTTATTATTGCTCAAATCTACAGTCTGGTTGTGATTGGCCACTCAGTCATGAGATATGCAGAATTAACAGATGATACAGGACTTTCAGGAATTCCTTTTTAATTAGAAAATATACCTGCTTGTAGGATAGAAAACAATCCAAAATAACAGTATTTGAATTTCTGAGTCCAGACTTCCTTTGGGCACAATACATCAGGATTAACTTTTAGAGCAGAACGGAATACCAGTAGAAAAAAATACTGTACATTGATTTTGAGAAATAACATCTAGTTACAGATTGAGTGTTCACACTAAGGATGCTGTAGTGTCTTCTAGAAAAAAAACCCAAAAACACCAAAATAAATAGGAAAAATGTCATTGGCATTACACCAAAGAAAAGCTTTGAAGGCAAAAAAAGGGAAGAAAACACCTCTATTAGTCCAACACAATACTCCAAACAGTGGATTATTGACTGTAGTTCACTTACTCTGTTAGGGCACCTCCCCCAAAATGGGGATCTCCTCATTTCTCTCCAACGAGAGCAAACGTCCCTTCTTCTAGAACCAGGTCCTCACATACAATACATTTTTGAAGGAAAAGGAGGAAAAGGGTGTGGGCAGGGCCTGAACGTGCCTCTGTAAAGCTTTTCCTGCCCATCAGTAGGAAAGTGAGGGACAGGAGACCTGGCTGGTGTGGTTCACAAATAAACACTCTCATTTCTCACTTTACCTCTCGACAGAAGGCGGCTGCACAAGAGTTAAATTCCAATTTGTGGCAATTTTTCCTCTCACATCCTGTCTAAAAAAGGAATTTGAATTTAAAGGCAACAGTAAAGCACACACGTATGTAAAGAGAAAGTCTTGCTGTTTTTAAGTCAGTACACCAAGAGAAATCAGAGAAACAACTCGTTCCTGGGACAGGGGAATGAAGGGTAAAACTTGCATCCTGACTGGGGCACAACTGGTTTTGGCATTCATGTGGAAAGCAACACTGTCCTGTATGGGTTTAATGCACTAGAAACCCCATGAAAAAGGAACTAAGAATTGATTTAGTGGATGCTCTCAACAAGAGACATTTAGCAGCACAGAAACAGAGGGACCTTCCTTCCCTCATGCACTATAAAATCCTGCTTTACACTAATATAACACTGCATAATCTCAATTCCACTCGTTAGTGCCAAAATGATGCATATCTCTTACAAATGGCCAAACTCACAAGCAAAACATTTAAACCAGAAATCGTTTAGCTCTACATTTATTGCAGATATTAAAAGATTAACAATGCTAACATGTTTACTTACACTAAAAAGAAATGTCAGTTATCCAATAACATAAGCAGCTAATTGTTACTAGCTTAGCACTACTGCCAGTTTGCACGGAACAGAAACTAGCAAACTGCTCTACAAGATTAATGGCAAAAAAAAAACCAACCAAAAGACAGTAGACACACCACTGAAGTTAGTTAAAATGTTCACTGAAGCTTGCAGTCTTCATGGAAGAGAGCCTGGAACTAAAATAACAGAAAAGAAGCTAGTAAACTTGCACCAAGGAAAATGTATCTGCACAACAAATGTTTCACATGTACAAGTATTTAAACTTTTCAAATCAGAGCTGCCTGCAAAAGCAGGTCAAAATCAAAGGAAATTCCTTTTGCAAAAGGAGCGTGAGGTCATCTCTTGGTAAAACAAGATAAAAGTGGCAAAGGGGGACCCACGTGAGAGCAACCCTGGAATCTCAGCACCAGGACTGCTCTGCTGAGCTCGTGTCCAAAATTCAGCTTTGGCACAAGAAAGACAGACCCTGCTCCAGTCACCTGGGGCAGCAGGTTCAGATTTTCCCACTGTGCACCTTTAGGCTCCAAGTTGAACTGCACTCAGGAAGGATGGTTCCTATTTTCCCCTCTGGATACCAGCATTTCTCCCAGATGGGATACGTAGGTGCTGGGCAAAGGTCCCCCAAATGGTCCCAGGCCCAACAAATTTGGGTTAAATCCCAGCATGTAACATGTAGCCCAGAACCCTTCTGAAATGTGAATGTGAAAGAAGAGGGGAACTGGAAGTTTGCAGGGAAATAAAAATTGTGAGCAGCAACACCAGCAGCTTCATCAATGGAACAAAGAGAAGAGCTAAACCCTTTGGAAGAGGTCTGAGATATAATATAAATCAGAGAGCAACAATAGTAGCTCCAGAGTGTCATTCTGAAGCAGACTGACAATCTCCTTTTTGGAAGGCTCAAGCTTTACACTGTGTAGCTGCTAATTATGCACAGGAAAGAAAGAGGGGCAGTGAAAAATACCCCCAAAGAGGAATTCAACTGGTGAGTGTACACTGCCACATACTGTAATCGATGATCTTTCAAGTAATCTGTGGTCCAAAACATGGAATGGTTTCAAACACCTCCAAGTAAAGCCTATGAAAAACGTTTGGGCTATCAAAAGTCTTTAATCAAGGTGATAAGCAGATAAATTTCTTTGTATTTATGGCCTTCATGCTTCAACACCTTATAATGTAAATGTGATGACAGGTGATGTTCATGGAAAAAAAAAGTAGCGGTCTATTTTTCTATACCTGCCATCATGCTTTTATTTAGTGATTATGTGCTTCAAGACAACCAAAAATGAGTGATCAGAAGATTGCAGCAACACAATTCTGTTTCTCATGGCTTCAAAGGCCCATACAGTAAAGAAAAACAAACCCAAACTTGCATTCAAGAACTAACCCTGGCTGTTCCAAGCGAGGAAAAGAATATACTTTTGTTCTTTCAGCAGCAGGCACAGGCAAGTTGATAACTGAAGAAGACATTTTCTTGCCTGTTTATCAGCTAGGAAGGTGAGCTGGTGCCATGTTACTGGGGGGTGCTGTTAGTGGTGGACCACAAGTTCTTTGCTCTACAAGAAGCATGGTGCAGGATGGGAACATCAGCAAGAGAGCACTCACTGCTCGTTAGCCAAACGTGCAACAGCTCAAGATCAGCTCTTTAAAGAACTTCAGAGAAGCAGGTTTTGGTGCTGTGTGTTCAGGTGAAGACTTCTGACTAGTTTCAGAAAGGTGAGGATGGAAAATGAGTACACTACAAAGTGCAATGTGAAATTCTGCCACTTACAGAAACCCAGTCACAGATCCCCTATTGATGTGCAAGTCAGGAAGAGATGAATGATCAGACCTTGGAGTGTTTATTTGTGGTAACACTGCTAAATCTTTCATGTCTTCACCAAGCAGTCAGGCAATGCTTTCTGTTGAAGCACAGTAGATCAATCCAGTCTTTTCTTGCAGTAAGTTCTGGAATAGTCCCCTTAAAAGCACAAGCTTTTTGCCTTTTTTCTTGGGATTTTTCAATAGAACTTCTGCAAAGCAAACATCTAACAGAAACAGAAATGACTCTCATAAACTGATGGCTTTAAAAAAACTGATGATCCAATTCCAGGTGACTTCTGAGTATCTCAAGTCTTCTCTTCAGCATTTTCTGCAGACACATGAATTGCACCTGCTCATGGCTTGAACCTCTTTGAGAAGCAAGGAAATTATTCAAGAAATTGTTGGAGAAGAGCAGAAAATTTGTTCAAAACCAAAAAGCACAGTTGAAATCATGTACTTGTTCATTACAGTGAAAAACCTTAGTAGAGGGGTTTTCAAGGAAGAGTTTAGTGTTCTCAGACTCAGATGAACTCAGTAATTCACCCTACACTTAAAGGCTAGACTCATACAAAATAAGGACACAGGTAAAGACTCTTCTTAAAACTGGGCTGTGGAGGAAAGGAAACTGCTTTCTGCAGACTCCAGAAGTGATCAGATTAGTCCACCAATAAAATGCAATAAAATAAAATCTGGACTGCCTTGCAAGAAGATCTGAATTGGAGAAGATTCTTGGCTTCAGGAAGGATCAGAGCCAGACCAGGCTAGTCATATTTTTCATGCTTATTCTGATTTATTTTTTTTTTTGTAAGACATCTCATCACAAACCAGGCAAACTTGGCCAAAGACAGAGGTAAACAGGCACTTCCGAGAACAAAATCAGCTGTTTCTTCCTCAGAAGATGACATCTAAGTTGTTAGCTTGCACAACCAAATACAAGACTAACTTTCATCTTGGAAAATGTTTTAATACATTAGTATTCAAGTCCACTACTACAGAACAAAGTGTTCTTCACACTGGCAGACTCTGCCGAGGATCTTTCACACAGCAGCCTTTGCATATCCGTGCACTCTCTAGCGAGCCAGTCTCTTATGTCAAACCTAGAAAGTAAGATTTTGGGGTAATTCAGCACTTCAGAGCAGTTCAACGTAGGTCTGGATTCTCATGAAACGTTAAGAAGCCAGATATACTCATGGAAACAGTACTATTTTTTCTTGGGAAAGGAAGACAAAAAGCCCTGGCACGTTAATGTTTGCAGGCATTCAGAAAGCAGAGGTGGCCATGGCACATACCTATTTACTTGCTCTTTTCTGCCTGTACATTTGTATCATTCTCTGACGGAAAACATCAAATGCATCTTCTTTATTTTCTTCCCCTGCAACACCCAAGCCCTCCCCTGCAGAGGTAGCACCCCTAGGGAGTAAAATGAATAGTTAGAACACTCTGTTTCTGATACATTTGACAATGTGCAGAAGAGATCAAAACAACAGCTTCCAACATCAACACAATTCAAGTGGAAAGTCATTCTGCTTCACTTTGGGGGAGAAGGGGAGCAGAGGCTTGGTACCTGGCATACTAGATCAACTCTAAACCAGCTCCCACCTCCCACTACACATGCAAATACCCACCAGAAGAAAATGCTCCTATGGTATCAAGGGAGCAGTGAAGATACAGTCAGCTTAACATCCAGTTCTTACTGAACTTCAACCACTTCATTCATGGCAGATAGGATGCTTGGTTGAAAAGACAGCAAAAATTGCCTGGCTTCTTACATTTCAAAACCAACAGAAGTCAGAGACTTTGAGGAGTGAGTAGGAAACACCACATAGCTCTGATAAAAGATGATTTTTTTTAACCAAGGGAACATAATGCTGCTTGCTTAAAATTCCTAGCACCCAAAGCAAGCCCAAGTCTTGCAGGACACGCACCACAGACAAAACCTGGAGCTCCTGCCCTTCCAAGAAAAATGAGTCATTAACTCATCTCTCTTCATCCAGACAGAAGCAGACAGGCTTCAACAGCATCAAAACAACGCTCAGTCCTGGAAGTAGGTGGAGAGGATGACCCACAAGAATGCAGAGACACAACCAATTAAACCCCAATTAAACTCTTTCTCCAGGCTATGCGAGTAGAACGTAGAGGTTACAAAGCCAAGATTAATGAAAACTCTGCTGCAGGAATGAGCCCCTGTGCCAGTTTTATCCTCCAGGTCAGGTACATTGGTATTATCTGTTAAAGATTTTATGATGTGAAGTCAGAAAATTTAGATTGCCCCATGTACTGGAAGTGGGATTGTTGTCATTTACCTTGACTGCTATCAGGGTAAAAACTGAGGACTTGTAAGTAGAATAAAGAAAAAGGATTCTTAGCCAATTTCTGTAATAATAGGTCCACTTAAGCCAAGCAGAGTGTTGTGCAATTCAGAAAGAATATTCACAGACTCTTAAAAGCAAATTCAACTTTACAGTCCCCAGCAGAAACCTTGGGTGCTGTTTTTGCTTCCAAATGGTTCTGAGTCTGACTTGGCAGTGCTGTGATCAAGCTAAGTTATGTTTTAAATTACAGTTAAAAGTAAAGTCACCTAAAAGATCTCCTAAAACTTTGCTTTTTTTTAATCTTTCCTAGTATGACCTGTTTGAAGCAGACTCTCTTCATTTGCTGCTTCCATTACACAATGTCTGCTTCATACTTCTAAACAGAAAGATTTATCTTGTTCTATTTACACCACAGCTCCTCCTCAGATTACTTTCAGAATAAAAAAACTAATCAAAGACATGAGATAATTACTCAGAGGAGGGTCTATCCCATAACAATATGTTGCCTTTGAGTGTGGTTTGGTTTGGTTTGGTTTTAAATATAAAATGAACCATAAAATTGGTCAGACCCATAGCTGGGACAAACCAGTTCTCAAGCCAGTGAACAGCTCCTAAGACTTACATGAAACTCCATGTAAAAATTTCTGGACCCATTTCTGGACCTCTACTAAGAGCTGGTAGTTTCCAAAAAGGGAAGAAAGAGTAGAGGCTACAGATGACTACATGAAAAAAACCCAAACAAATCAACAAACCCCCTGCATTGTATCAGAACAACTCTCAAGAGAAAGCAAAATGTTAAACTGCACTGGTTTCCTCCTCACTGAGATTGTCCCAAAGTAGTATCCAAAGACTGACTTTGATGGGAAAGTAAAGAGAAGTTTTCACACCATGAAAACAATCAATAACAGGGAGTTCTCTGGACATTAAAGCTCAACAAGCTTCTGTAAGAGGCACAGAAAGCAGTTCCTCACTATATTTTTGCAGTTGTCTTTACAAGAGTGACACAACAAAGGATTCATGCTGGAAAAAACCTGTATTTTCACATATTAAAGATGGCCACAAGCTTTTAGACTGCAGTGGGTCGTCAGACCAGATTAGTGCAGAAAACTTGTGCCAGGAGCTACAGAAATAAGTAAATTAGTCACATATTTGGTCCCAAGCTTTGAGGTAACGCTGGAACACAAAGAGAGCTACAGGTGAAGGATGCTGCTTCTTGTTGGCTGTTTGCTGCTGAAGAAGGAAATAGAGGAAAAAAAACCAATCATGATGGCCACTGGACCACGGGAAGCACTAAGGACAAAAGAAAGTGAATGACCAGAAGTATCCCACCAACTAAAGTGACCAGTACTGTCCAAGGCATGAAGAGAACATAGAAATCCCTGGAGGAAGAAGACTGTTAAACCACAGACCATGTGTGTGGACTAGACAGTTTGTTCTATGGGTTCAGTGAAAAATAAATAGGTTTTGCCTCCTTATTTAGTCAGGGAGTTGAAGGAGGTGTTATGCACTCTCTGTGCTGGCAGTTGTGGATGCTGGATACAGCAACTTTAAAAGATAAAATGAAGATTTCAAAGCAGATGTGTATTTTAAAGGAAAAAGCATGCTTACCTTCTGGCAGATGCACTTACCTCTTTCAGTATGCAGTGGAATGAATCACACAATTAGAGTGAAAAGAAATTTGTTGCCTAGATCTAGGAGTACTGTGCATGATTTTCCCAAAGTCTATTTATATATTAGGCACCTGGTGTGGTAGCAAGGAGATCCCCAGGATAAAACTATGTGCTTAAAAACCCTAAAACTAAATACACCAAATCACAAAAACCACTTCCTGAAGTAGAGGGGCACCTGTGTATCTTTAGAAAAGTGTCCACATGCTGCAGCCTTCAGTGATGGCAAGAAGCAGCCACCTTCCAGAGCAGACTTTGCCCAGCCTGGCCAGGAGAACGTGTGAAATCTCCACACTCAGCCGTGCTGAGGCCAGAGGCCAACACCAAGGAGGAACCAAAACACTCAACTGGCCACATCTAGGCAGGTTAGATAACCAGAGTTACTATTAGAATCCCAGCTTTCTCCAGAGCTGTCAAATTTCTGCAGTGTGCTCCCATTACATACACTTTTACAGGCTCTCTGATCCCTTTTCCTCGTGTGCCAAGGCCGTGTCCTTCTTGCCAGCCCATCTTCTGAAGCATCTGGAAACCCACGTTCCTGTTGGTAAGCTTCTTGTGGGAAAACTCCAAATCTTTTGGTTTCTATCAAGGAGGGAAAAAAAAACAAAAACAAACAAACAGAAAAACAAAGGGATTTTTTTTGTTCTACAGAGAGATAGTGCATTAAAAACCCTCACAAACCCCTCCTCCAAAAAAAAACCCAAAGTGTGATTGAACTTCTGGATATAGAGAAATGGATTTTAAGCAGCACTTCATGAGCTACATGGAAAAAAGTCTATTACAGAGGAAATAGCTGCCTTGCTAGTTTAAATAACCTGTCAAGTTTAAATATATAAATATTTATACATCTTCTATATTATAAATATGTAAATACATATAATCCAGGTTCTCAAATTGTTTAATTACATTATTAAAAAACCAAAGAATATACCTTTATGTTTTAAAAGGTAGTTAAGGTGTTTTAATAACAGCTTTTGAATGACCTGATGACTGAATCTTTATGACAAAGACAGGAGCAGTCAAATTCTCAGGGATTTTGGAAAATGACAACATATCTTCCAGACAGCAGTGCACTGACTTTTAATTTTATTTTTTTTTTTTTTAAGGCAAGACTGACACACAGCTAATCATAAACTGGTTAATTTTGACAGAGACACTTAAAACACAACAGGAGCCACATCTCTCATCAGTCTAGTCTTTTTTAGGATCAGGCTTTTCAGGTTTTAGATGGATTTTATGACAATGAGACATTTCTAGAGGCTGCCTCTTGTACAGGCAGTTGACTCTCAGAATGCAATGGCAAACCAGAGGAGTTCTTTACCTTCTTCTTCTTTGTAACTGGGCAGCCACGAGGCCTGTCATAAGCAATTCTGACGGGTTCATGCACTGCAAGTCAAATCAGAGACAATAATCAGCTGTGAAGAAAACCAATTTCAATACAGAACTCCAAAAGCACACCTCAAGCTCAACGCCTTGGCCTAAAAGCAGAACCAATAAGAGAGATCAAAATTCAAAAAAGAAGCAAAATAAGACCTTTTTTCCCCCCCTTCCACCACTAATTAGTACATGTATGTATTTAGTTTTGGACTTCTCATGCCAGCAGTTCACTGATGGATGACACACCCCAAGGACTTGAGATCTTTCATTTCCCTGAGTTTCTGCAACACTCTGATAGAAAATTCAGGCTGGACTTAACTGAGATCCTTGTCTGTCATTTCCACATCACAAAGGACAACCTTCACCAATAAAAACCATTATGCAAAGAACAGACATTTGTTACAGTAGCTGCTGAGCACATATAATCAGTTTTAAGCTACTTATCTCTCAATTCTTAGAACATCAGGACCCGCCCCTGCTGTGGCCATCCTGACAAAATTTGAGAGGCCAATCCACAGTCTAAATGCATTTAGTCAAATGCTCAAAATACGTTCAGTGCTCTGTTAAACCTTCCCACACACTGATAAAATAAACCCTGCAAAAAAAATACTACAGTGAGTTTTTAAAGCAGCAGAGAGAGGGTAACATCCACACAGACTCAGAGCATCTTTGAGGAATGATGTCTGACACAAATTTTACTATTTTTAAAATACTATTTTATTATTTGCACAGTAATAAAAAAAAACAGTTACACAATTTATTCACGTTTTCCTTTGTCAGCTGAATAAACCTGTCAAGTGAACGTCATATTAATTCTCATATTAAAGAAATTCTTCTAACCCTAATTCTTTTAGCCAGCAGCAGCCAGTAACAAAGTAGATAAAACCCAGGAATTCTGTACAAAATACCTGTGAAGCAACACTCACCTTTTGGTTCTTCTATGAGGCAAATCCTTTTAGAGGCAGGAATCATACCAACTTTCAGAGACTTGCTGCTGATTCGTTTGCGAGGAAATGGGGTACCAGGAGCAGGAGCTGATGCCTGTGTCGACAGATTTGGCATAGCCCCATCAGATGATGTGGCCAGTGGTATTTCACCTGCTGAAATTTCCTCTCCTGATTTGGAAATCATCTCTTCAGCTAGGTTTTCCACACTTCTACCTGCTGCCACGTCATCCTCTTCTCCCTCCTCGGCTTGCTCCGTTTCTTCCAAAGGTTGGGAGATATCCTCCTCAAACTCAGCTTCCTCCTCGTTATCTTCTTCCTCTTCTTCTTCCTCCTCTTCTTCCTCTTCTGAAATATCCAAATTTCTCTCTTCAGCTTTAGCATTTTCCCCAGCATCAGTTGCTTCTGCCACAGCACTGAAGTTAATAGAGGGACACAGCTCATAGACCTTCATTCGGTAAAATCTGAACGCAGAACTGTTTCGATCCTGCAGAAACCTGAGCAAATGTTACAGGGGAAATCACATCAGAAAGAGATTTTCTTTAGCTAGAATGAGGCAAAAGATTAGAAATAAATCTCTTGCTCATTTTTTGAGCAGTCATTCCAGGCGTGGTTTTGTACAACCACAGGATTCCCCAACAACATGCACTAAGACCAGGAAAATCATTCCCCTCAGTTCTTACAGACTGCTTCTTATCTGCACCTCTCAAACTGTGTTAGAGAGAATTCAGCAGAATTTTCTTTACTATATAGATGGAGAAACCAAGATAAGAAGCTGGCTCTGGATGAGCCAGAAGGCAAACAACACATCCCAGAAGACTCAAGTCTTCCACATCTCAGCCGTGTGGTCTGTGTGAAAATGGGTTTATTGATTCTGGGAGAGGGAGGAGATAACAGGGCTCCATTTTTGTTGGTGCACTATGACTAGCAGAGAAAAACCTGCCCTTGTTTCCACTCCAGAACTTAGGCCACCGTAGGCAAAGTCTTGCTTAAAAAACCACCAGGTTGAAAATACTCTGGCAGGGCAGTGTTTCAAGATGCAAGCTGATTACTTAGGATAGAAAGGAAAAAAATACATCTGTTTGGATATAAACGAAAACAAATACACCTCTCAGTGCATGTATGAATTTGGGAGAGGTGTTTTTGCTTCTTAGGTCTTTCAAATATTCACCATTACTGGAGGTGCTGAGCAGGACAACAGGGAGTCCTGCTCAACATCCTCTGTTCCTAACGCACCAAATGAAAGCATACTGACAACAAACATCTCAATTAGGAAGGGAAATACCTCCTTAGCAATTAGTTAGGTGCATGTTGATTTTTTACTGGCCCATTCACACAGAGAAACGTGCAGGTCACTCACCAGAGGTCTGGGTTATCTGCGCTGTTGTCTATGCTGAACTGCTCAATTTCTGGTCCTACCTGGGCAACGAACTTGGCGAGTTTCTCAGCAGTTTCCATTGTTTTAGCATCCACTGCAAGACACAAAATGCTTGTTACCTAGAGCTTCCTATCAAATCTCCATCACTGGAAGGTCAATATAGTTGGAGAATGATCCACTTGAGCAAAACAAATTCTTTTTAGAACTTCCAGCAGAAGATTCTGCAATTCTTTTTTAAATTGTACATTATAGGAGAAATCTCCTCTGGAATCCCCACTTACCATCAGGAAACTGAGAGGACAACGGTGGGAGAAGTTCAGGGGATGCTAAGAAATCCTCAGAATCTGCCCGTTCTTCAGCTGGCAGGGAGAGCTCTGAACTGGTGGCACATTGTGAGGATGAGGTTGTGTCGAGGGAATAATTCTTCTCAGAGAGGCCGATTTCTACTACAGAAGACTTTGCCTGGTCTGAATCTTGAAAGTGCTTGTCTTGGTGCTTCAGGACAGTGCCAGCTGAAAGCAGAGTCTGTGTTCCAATGGTTGTTCTCCTCAGCTTCCTTCCTCGAAGACCATGTTGTGTGATAACTCCAAGTCTTTTTCTTTTAAATAGCTTTCTCTTAATACTTGCCACTTTCCTGGCATACAACATGGCCCTGACTGATTCTGTTGCAGATTCTTCCAGTGTTCTGCCCTCACCACCCAATTCCTTTCCAGATGATGCCTGCCTTTGCACCTCTGAAAGCTTCAGTCTGTAATACTTGTATTCTAGACTGTCTTCATCAGACAAGAACCTAAATAAAATCATAACAATAAGATTAAAACCTAAATTGAAAGCACGATGGATCTCAAACCCTCAGATCAGCAACTCAGTAGCAATTGTTCCTTTTCTCCAGGGGTGTACACAAGTTGCTATGTGAACGTTACCCTGCTTAGATGCTTCTCAGAGCAACAGCCACCTCTGCCTCTAAAGCAGTATGCAAAGTATGCCAAACAAATAAATGATGGAGGGGTTTGACATAAGTCGTCTGGCTAGTAATTAATCAGCTATGCTGCAATTCACACATGAAAAGATACTTCCAGGTGTAATGATCTATAAATACAACAGTGTCTCAACTTTCCTACTCCAATATTATTCACAGAACACTAGATCCCCCAGTTACCTTACTCTACATTTCTATTAACTACATATTTTCATCTTGCCCATGTAAATTGCTTTTAACATCTCCTGTTTGGATTGACACAGGGTCATTACTGACAGATCAAGAGGAACATGATCTACTAGAGAAAACAAGAAGCAACAAGACAATTTCCAGGCATAGCAGGAAGTATAATGAGCTGAAGGAAACATTTTCAAGAAGTCTGATTAAATATAGAATAGGCTTTGATCCTACAACTATTGAATGAGATACTGAATTTAATTTATTCCAAAGATCATAATCAGAGAGTAGTATTACAACATACTGTTCAAACACACCTACCAATATTCAGGACAGCTCTTTTGGGCATTTCTCTCTTTGGCAGACAAGGTTCCTGATACAATGCTCTTCACCAGCTGCTCAATTGTCTCCACAACTTTCCGATCAGCTCGCTGTGGGACTGGAGGGAGAAATAAAACACAGTCCTTGTATCATCAACACAGGATTGGTGTGTTGTCCTGCTTACTCCTGACACACTGACACTTGGAATTTTTCAGCATATTAATACAAAAATACTTAATAAATTAAAGAAACCTCAGAAACTTTCTGTTTTCTCAGCTTAGATTCTGGAATAGTTTGTTATGAGAAGCACTGTCGTTTAAGAAACTTATCCTTTGCCATCCTGAGCAAGTTAAGGCATCCTTTAAAAGGCAAATATTTGTTGCAGCAAAAGGATTTTGTGCAAAATAAGTATACTTGAACACTACTCTGAAGGGGTGAGTTCCCACTTGTGCACCACTCAGTGTCAGTGCTGCAAGAACTCCCACTGCAAGCATCTGATTCAATTAGGAAAAAACAGATGAGTATAGTAATGAGTAAGAATGCTTCAGAGAGGATGGACTAGTGGCCTAATAAAGCAGAGGAAACTCCTATAGATAGTAGCCTACAAACATCAAAGAAATATGCCTGCATCTGATAAAAGCAGCAATGGGAACAACTCCAGCTTTGCTTATATACAAATACTTACTTGGTGCTGTAGCCAGTTAGAGCTGCAGTCCTGGCCTCCCTGCCTCGGGGTTGTGAAGCTGAGGCAGCCCAGGGCAGGAGGTGACACTCCTAGATTTAAAGTATAAGCGTGTGCAGGAGAGGGGAGGAAGGAGCCACGCTTCCACCCACACAGCTGAGAGCCATGGCTACAGCAGGCAGGATTTACTCCCTGCCTCAGCACTGCTAGGGATTTCAATTCCCAGAATCAGGAATTCCTGACCTAAGAAAACCATAAAAACGACGAGAAAAGGCTAGCATCAAATCAAGACATTTTACACTGCAAAGTGTCAGCCAACAGTTTGCTCCCTTTTTACCTTTTGTGTCAGGTTTTTCGGGCTCAGCTGCGGCCTCGGGTTCGTTTTTTTTCATCTGGATGGGATACCCACTCTTCTCCAACCAAGCCTTCAAGTTTTCAATGTACTCCCTTCCAAACAGCGTGGAATCATCAAAGTTGGGGAATAACGTTGGTGCTGGGGCCATTTCCTGCAGCCCTACAGCTTCAAGTATTTTCTCCTGCCTGAAGACCGACGCCAGAGCAAAGGTCTGGCCCAGAAGAGCTAAAGATTTACGACAGAGAGACACAGTGGTCTCAAAAGCATTGGCCATTTCCCTTGGATTCCCAAACCCACTGGTTTTGATGCTCAGCTCGTAGGCATTGCAGGCCATGAGAAGTGGGGTGACACCTTTCAGGAGGCGATCTTGCAGCCTCATGATGTACTTATCAAAAGGTTTGATGATTTCGAAGAAGCAATTCTTGGTTTTCACAGCCCCTTTGTCCAAGAGCATGTTTAAAAACTCATTGTCCACTTTGGGAGTTTTCAGAGCAGCGTGTTGTAAGCTCTTGATGGTGAAGAAGCAATAATCTCTGTGTTCTGGCTTCAGGGAGCACTTGAAGGAGGCCAGCATTTTTGCACAGGTTTCTGTCTCCAGCTCGAAGAGGGCACCGAAGAGCCGGGAAAACTCGGCGTCGTTTTTGATGGCATGAAAACCAGCCCATTTTATAATCTCTATCCCAAACGTGGAAAAAATGTCCGACTTGTCCACCAGGTCGAAATTGAGATTCCGGAAAACGTGCACAGGTTTGGGGAGCCTGAGGATGGGTCTCTGGGTTGGTAGAATGGCTGGCCTCTGATTGGGTCGTGGAAGTAATTTTTGATTAGGGTGCTGGATGGTCACCGGCCTCTGGTTGGGTCTCTCAGCAGCTTCATCAGGCATTTCATCAGGTTCCAGAGCTGGCTTCTGATCAGGGCCCGGCTGTAGTTTTTTAGTGTTCCATTTCTTTAGGGGCGTTTTGAGCTCTCCTTTGAACACTTTGGTTCTAATGACACCCCTCGTGATGCGCTTGCCTCGCAGAGCTCTCCCCCTGCCCACCGTGCCCCTCCGCACCGGGGGCCGGAATTCGCTGTCGGATGGAATCCCAAAGTCCACCTCATACTCCTGATTCTCCACGTTGCCATATTCTTCTTCCATCAGTCCCGGCGACCTAAAATCCCCTAAAATATCCGCAGAGCTGAAGTCGGCGTC